GAGAGAGAGAGAGAGAGAGAGAGAGAGAGAGAGAGAGAGAGAGCATTTGAGCATATAGAAAGACTCTTGGGCATCATAGACCCTATGGGGAGATCTGAGGTCCATTATCCAGCTAAGGACTGCTGTGATCTGGCTATTTACACTTCAATAGGGAAGAAGAAATCAGGTGATTGTTAGTTTAGTCTGAATTAATCATCCAGGAAGAAAGCCCAGCTAACAGCATCTGATGCTTTGTTCAGGTTCACAAGCTGAGTTAGTGGCAGGCCTGGTTTGAAATCTCCTTGTCTGCAGTCCCAATTCCCCTTTCTCTTTCTATCCTCAGTCCTTCCTGCTCTTGGCACCCGTTAGGAGGGTGGAATAAAGCAGCTCCCTCCAAGACCTTCCGGTGCACATCTGGATCCCATGCACATCTGGATGGCTGAAGTGTCCAGGTGTCTGGGGCTGCAGTGGAGACCATCAGGCAGAAGGTGACGAGGCAAGGGACAGCACTGGCAGCTCTCAAAGGCACTGGACACCCTTCTCAGGGCCAGGGACCCATTTACTCCATGCTTATTTCAACGACAGCTTTATAACCACCCAGCAAAGCAGGGATGGAACTGTTGCCTCTGTTCTGTACAGACGCATGGCTTAGAGAGCGAAGCAGCTGCAGAGACTGCCCCAGGTGTTTGTGACCCATTTCCGAAGAAGCTTCCTTAGGAGAGCTACAGGCTCAGGGGTGTGCAGCAGCAGGATTGCTGGATGGCTCCCCATCTGCGGAGTGATTTGCTGTCGGTATTGGAGTAACTGGAGGTGGATATCTACCTGAAAGCCTCCCACGACTATGCATTTTACCAAAGTAAACTGGCCAACATCATGCCCTCCTTCCTGTTTCCAGTGATGGGGTTTCATTCAATACAACAAATTCTTATTGTTCACTCAGAATGGTCATGAACAAATTCTCTGAAACAAATAACAAACATTGTATCCCTCCCAGAGCGGGGACCTCATGAAGACGCTCTCTGGAAGACCTGTTTGCATTCTTTTCTCCACCTCTGCTTCTGATTGGACATAGACTCTTGCTCTGTAGTACAGGCTATCCTGGAACTCACTGTGTAGCTCAGGCTGGCCTCAAATACATAGTGATCCCCCTTCTCATAGACAATCTGTGTGCTAAGCAAGCAAACAAATAAACAAAACCCTCAAAACTGGCTTAAAACTCCTAAAAATGCTATTTGGTAAGGTAAAAACCAGTTAAATATTGGTGACTTCATGTGGTTGAATCTAGTTTATCAATTGAGTCTTTTAAAAAGTCAAACTGAACGTGAAATACAGTTCTATTTTTCTTATGCTTGGAGCTTATCAGTCGCTATCCAATTTTACCAAATGACATTTTATACTCATTAATTATTATACTTACTCAGCAATATGCATGAAGAAACACGATTTCTGAACTAGAGAAGCTTATCCTGATTCCTGTCTCTATTGGCAGCAAGAATATGAATCAAGGAGACCCTGAATGATCAAATGGCATGCTGTATGTGGAGTTACTCGTGGTCTGTAACCACTGCACACACGTGAGTTTCTGTCATCTGTTATTTGTCTGGTAGATTAGTCCTGTGGGCAGAACACGGACGGTGTTCTAACTTCTAGTGCGCAGGCAAGAAAGCCACGTCTTCTACTGGTGCTTTCTGACTGTGAGTCTGTTCCCCGGGAGGCTTCGTCTTTAGTGGTACAGTCCAGTCCAGTTCATGAAAAGAATTTCAAGTTGCAATAAATAACAATAATAACACTTCTATTTCCTGAACATGAACTGTATTTCAAGTATTATATTAAATGTCTTATACTAGCTCCACTTGCTGACATCATTATTATACTTCTCCAGTTTCTGAATTGGAAAATTTAAGTTCAGAAATGAAATGACATTCTCAAGTCCTCCTAGATATCAGATAAAGGAGCTGGCACTCAGTCAGAGTTCAGGAAGGCTCTGGAAGCCAGCTTGCATGGCTCCTCACAGAAAGCATGCTCTGCTTTTCTAACCAGGAACTTTACAAACGAATATTCACTGCCACATTAACAACGAAGGACAGATCATTCAGAAACACACTTGGTGTGCAGATGGTGAGGCCAAAGAACCCCAAGTGAGAGGACCAGATACCTGAGCCTGTTCCCACTGCAGCGTGCTCACATCGGCAGCCTCCTGGGACAGTGGCAGGGCTAGGTGGCCAGGAAGCAGACACACAGTCCAGAACAGGGTGAGTTGCATAGTCGTCATCAAAAGGCGATTGTTCTCAGACCAACCAGATGCTTTGATGTCTTATGACAGGAGCTGGAGAAATTTATATGACTTCTCAGCCCTGAATGTGAAAATAGGTGACTCATTTGCAGGCTTTTCTTCTTTTTAGAATGCATGTGTTATTTTCCATTAGCAACAATGAGGAAGTATTGTGTCCTTTATTGGCAGGAGGAACATATGGCTTTTATCTTTTAGAGGACCCCCTCCCCCCCCCGTGCTGAATCCACAAGAAAACTTGTTTTATTTGTTGGAATCAAATCACTACCCTCCCAAGTCTCTCACTGACAAAGCAGTTCTGAACCCTTCATTGTATTCTGTATCTTACAAGGATTTTTCTAAACATTTGTAATATGTGGAATAGTGCACAAATAGAATAACATCACCGATCAGGTACTGCAACAAAACCAGCACCAAGAAAGAATAGGACACCAAGGTGATGAGACACACCTGGAATCCAAAATTCAGGAGGCTGCTTAGGCAGGAGGATTGCAAGTTTAGGCCACATAGTGCCTGTATAGTTAGACCATTGGCTACACAGTGAGACAATAATTAAAATAAGAAAGAAAGAAGGAAGGAAGGAAGGAAGGAAGGAAGGAAGGAAGGAAGGAAGGAAGGAAGGGAGGAAGGAAGGGAGGACAGAAGGAAGGAGGAACTGGAGCATTACTGGCATCCCATAATGCTTTGTAAAGGAGGGGGACAGGTGTGACAGGTGCAGGTTCTGTGTCAGTGGCTGCTGTAGAGCGAGCTCTCATCCGGGCATTTCAGTCACACAGTGCGAAGCTCCTGTAAGTGCCCCTTTAATCAGTGGCTTCTTTTCTTAATGCTATTCCTAATTTCCTTCAATCAAACACCCCAGTAAATCTCCAGGGAGAGCCATGTGTAACATGTCTGTATAATATATGAATATTTATAGACGTGACCTGTATCAGATAACCATAATGCTATGAGATATTCATTGATCCTTGTATTGGAGTAAAATCATGGATCTTTTCTTATCTTAGAGAAGCCACAGACTGGAAGGAAATATTGCAAAAAAACATATCCAGTGAAGGACTAGTGCTGTGGGATGACTCTTCTGTACACTGTGAATATACTACTCTCATCCATTAATTAATAAAGCTGTTTGGCCTATAGCAAGGCAGGATAAAGTTAGGCGGGACAATCAAACTGAAGATGAAGATGAAGAAGGGCGGAGTGGAGAGAGACTGGAGTGAGCCACCCAAGAAGCAAGATGCCAGAGGACCGGTAAAGCCAAGGGCCATGTGGCAACACAATAATTAATAGAAATGGGTTAATTTAAAAGTAAGAGCTAGTTAGTAATAAGCCTGAGCTATTGGCCAAGCATATTGTACTTAATATAAGCTTTTACGTGTTTATTTAGGACTGGGCAGTTGAGACAGAAAAACTCCGCCTCCATTTACAGACTATTATCTAAATTGTATAAAGAACTCTTAAAATCCAACAGCAAGAACACAAATAATCTGATTAAAAAAATACACCAAGGATCCAAACAATAATTCACCTAAAGAGACACATAGATTCGAAGTAAACATGAAAAGATGTTCCCCTTTGCAGTTACCAGGGAAATGTGAATTAAAATAACAACAAGCCAATTAAAACCCATTAAAATGATTCAAATCCAGAACGTGGGCAACGCTAAGGCAAGGCATGCTGGGAATACAAAGGGTACGGCCTCTTAGCAATGCAGTTTGGCACGTCCAAAACTAAACCTCCTTTTACCACATGATCCAGGAAGCATACTCCTTCCCAGCCAAAGAAGAAATGAAAATCCATGCCTATATAAAACGTGCTTATCACACTTTTATTCATACTGTTCAAAACTTGGGAATACTCAAGATGTCTTTCAGTGGGGGAATGGCTGGATAGACTGAATTAGCCACACAAAGGAATATTATTCAGCACCAAAACCAAAAGAGCTACCAACGATGAAAAGACATGGAAGAGCCTTAAATGAGTGCTACTGAGTGAATGGAGCCAATAGGAAAGGGTTAAATCTGTGATTCCAGGTAGATGCCATTCAATGAAAGGAAGCAGCAGGCAGATCAGTGGTACAGGGATAGGGTTGGGAAAGGATGGCTGAGGGGGGATACAGAGCACAGAGGGTGTTTAAAACAATAAAACACTCAGGTATTTAGTGATGAATGCATGCCATCACACATTTGTCTAAAACCTTACAATGTACGATATCAAGAGTGAGCCCTAATGCAAGCCATGGATGGGGAAGAGAGGCAGGCAGTGTATTGGTGATGAGGTAGTGAGGCTAGAAAGCTGGCTGGAGTAAAGTCATCGACAGTCAGCCTTGGGTGCAAGGAGTTGGGACTTCATCCTAAGGCTCTCAAAGCAATGTTTGAAAGAAGAAATTATTGTGACTGGGTTAGAATTGTGAGAAAATGCTAGCGCTTGCTCTAAAGACCGATTGTGGAAGGAGGGATGACTCTCTGTTGAGGGCCGAGAGAGAGAGATAAGCAGAGGCTACTACAAGAGCCAGGGTGAGGTAGGGAGACTAACTGGGGTAGAGGAAGATGATCCAAGGCACGCCAAGAAACCAGAATTTAGCTCTAGCCCTTCCTGTCCCTTTGCAGGATGGAGGCAGCGATCTGAGGCCAGGGCAGGCCAGGGCAGGGCAGGTGAGTTCCTCTTGGGGACTAGAAAGCTGAGAGCTGAGAGTGAGGATCCTGCCCAGATGTCCCCTCTCACCATGCCACCCACACAGCAGGCATCACCCCCAGACCTGCCGCTGGAGCACAGGGGCAGCAAGACCTTCAGTGTGGAGAGGAGGATAATGGCTAAGCTCAGGAAAACACCGGTTCAGGCACAGCACAAATGCGGCATGAAGACCAAGACATTCTGGCTTACGGCAAACAGACATGCTTTCACCTTCAGAGTGAGCGTGGGTGACGCGTGACGGGTGGTACAGGAAGAAGCTGGCAAAGCATTTGAAATCCAGGGTGAGTATTTGCTTTGCAGTTCCTGACCCTTAGTGCCCGATCCATCTAAACTGCATAACTCAATTGGCCCCTTCCAGGAATTGGCTACTCATGGTGGCTGGCGACTTCCGGAATGTAGCCTTTCCCAGGAAGAAGGGACTGCCCATAGGGTATAGCAGTTTGCAGGGTAGACTTGTTTATGGAAACTGGAAAGGGAGATTTAAAAAACAAGCAAACAACAACAACAGACAAGAGAGACACTGTTGAGAAATTTCTTACCAAATCTAGTAATATTTCTCCAGAGAACAACATTTCTCTAACGAACATTGTGGGGTATTTCTTAGACTGCACTTGGCATTCCTTGAAGAATTCCCCTGGTAAAAAGATCAACCTACTGAAAAGAAGCCACCTCAGTCCCCTGAATACAGATTACATCAAGCTGCTTAGTAAGATTGCCAAGGAGCAAGGTTTTAGCATACCATTCAGATACAGAAGAACTGAGTGCCAATGGACAGTGGCAGTGTCTCTCAGAACTGCCCACCAGCCCCACTTCCATGTGTCATGGCTCAGGCGTCTCCTGTGGCAATGCACAGAGTCACACTACCCACAATGCTCTGCAGTATTTAAAGATAAGACCAGAAAGAAAATAGGCTTGGAGCAGCTTATGGAACCCTGTAGTGCATAAGAAGTTCCCCTTGCATCTCTACCGGAGTAAACATTTGCTGTCATGTATGTCTGTGTGTCCACGTCTCTTCAGATTCTCAAAATTTGTCTCCTGGCAGTAGTTATTAAACTCTTTTTAATGGCTTCAACTTTGTGTTGGTAAATTACATTTATAAACTCTGTAGCCCTCACTTTATAGGCACATGGTAAGGAGAGTCTGCATATCTGACTATGACATGAAGAAATAAAGCCACTGTTAGCAACCATCTTACTGCTGCTTAGAGCTCCTTTTGAGCAAGGCTTTATGAAATGAATTCTATGGAAACCCATTAGAACTACAGTGGGAGGCTTGTATTGAATGCCACTGCTAAATTTCAGAGAACATGGCTACTCTGCCATGTATTTTAAACCATGGAATAAAGAACTATTGTTTAAAAAGAAAGAAAGGATAAGCAAACAAATAAACCAGGATTTAGAGGGAAAAAAAAACAGAACAAAAACTTGGGAGCCAGTCAGCTGCAGGATTGAAGAGGAAAGAGTCGAAGATCTGAGTTAATGAGTGGGTCTACTGTTGGGACAAGGCTTATAGATGAAGGGGTGGCCATTACCAGGGAACGAGAGAGTTGGTTGTGTCTAAGCCATTGGTATCAGTATTGGTTATTGAATTTGAGGGTTCAGCTGGGAAATCATGTCCTGAACTCATGAGAGTGATGCATTGTGCAGACACAGGCTGTAAGTGACTCACTGTTAAAGGAGGAAAACCAGATGTGCGTGCGTGCGTGCGTGCGTGTGTGTGTGTGTGTGTGTGTGTGTGTGTGTGTGTGTGTGTGTGTTGGGGGGGTGTATAGAATAGACATGATGTAAAATTTGCCCTTTTAAACTTTAAATTTTAAAAAGTTTTATTTTTATTTCTTGTGTATGAGTGATTCGCCTGTCTGTATGTCTGAGCACTGTGTATAAGCTTGGAGCTCATGGAGGCCAGAAATAGGTATTGGATCTCCTGGAACTGGAGTTAGATGATTGTGAGTCATCGTGTGGGAGCTGGGAACTAAACCTTAGTTCGCTTCAAGAGCGGCCAGTGCCCTTAACCACTGAGCCATCCTTCTAGCTCAATTTTCACCTTTTGACAAATTACATTGCTTATGTAGGAGTTGGTTCTGCCGTGTAGGTCCTGGGGACTGAACTCGGGTGGTCAGGTTGGCAGCAAGCATCTTTACCCCTGAGCCATCTCACCAGCCTTGTTTCTAAATCCAGTTCAACGACACTAACATGTTACCATGTTCTCCAACTGTCAAGGTATTTATTCATTTCCAGAACTTTCCATCATTTCACATCACTGTCTTTTCTCCCCCCATTCTCTTCATAATCTCCATTCTCTG